CCTTGGAAACCCTATGGGGCAGTTCTACTCTGTCCCATAGGGTCGCTATGAGTCGGCATGGACTCAATGGCAACTGGTTTGGTTTTGGAAACCCTGTTGGTATAGTGGTTAAGAGCTCGGCTGCTAACCAAAAGGTCGGCAGTTCGAATCCACCAGCCACTCCGTGGAAACCCTATGGGGCAGTTCTACTCTGTCTATAGGGTCACTATGAGTCAGAATCGACTTGATGGCAATGGGTTTGGGTTTGGTTTTATGTGCTAAATAAGGTGCTGGGCACAGGAAGCAGCCTCCAGCTGGGGAAGCAGACCTTCAAATCACAGCCTTCTCAACAAGCCAACAGAGCATGCTCACAGTGTGTGCCCATGCCAACTGCTGCCTGAGTGGGATTTTAACACCTTTAGAAATAAGTATTAAGATAACTGCAAGTTCTATTTATTATTCATCCACTCAAATATTGACAGTGCACACACTAGGTACCAGGTACCCGGCAAGCTGCTTGTCACATCATGTCTAATCCTTGCAACCATCTGCTACACAGCCGTTAGTATGATTATCCCCATTTCACAGAGGGGGACACTGCAAAGTTCAAAGGGGGGCCGCCTTGCCAAAGTGACAATGCACTGCATGTGTATTGGGTCAGCAAGGTAGCTAGGGGAGGGCATTCCAGGTAGGAGGTATGGCCCTGGCATGTGCCTGGAGAAGTGAGAGGGCAGAGAGTGTCAAGAGAGTGTCCAGCGAGCTGTGTGCAGCCACCAGGCCCTGCCCAAGACAGTCTGGGCCAGCACTGGGTGGGAAGTTCCTCGAGAACTAAACAGGCAGGCGGGCTGAGTGCAGGGCACAGTCACCCAGGATGACAGCAGGGGGCAGGGTAGTGGTTAGCACCAGCCACAAGCACCTTCCTGACAGCAAGAGGGCCAAGCGGAGTCAATTCTGGACCCCTAGCACCTAGCCGCAAGGGCAAGCAAGGGAAAGAAATGAACATTTATTTTGAACCTACAATGTACCTGGGCTAGTTCTTTTATTTATTAAGTTTACATGTAAATACACATATCCTGCCTCTTTCCAAAGAGAATTTGCAAAGGCTTACAAATGAGGACATCTATGACAAAGTCAATGAAATAAAGAAAAGGGCAGGAAGTGAAGGTCAAAGGAAAAAGGAGGCCATCAACTGGGAGGCCTGATGTTTACTAGCTTGAAACCTTGGACAAGCTTTTACTTAATTTCCATGGGACTCAGTTGTTCAATCTGTGAAATGGGTTAGTAAGACCTACATCATAGGTTGGAGCCCTGGTGACGTACTGGTTAAGAGCTTGGCTGCTAACCAAAAAATCGGCAGTTCGAATCCACTAGCTGCTCCTTGGAAACTCTATGGGGCAGTTCTACTCTGTCCTATAGGGTCGCTGTAAGTCAGAATCGACTCAGTGGCAATGGGTTTTTTACGGGTCACTAGCAGTCACCTCTGGGTCATCCACAAAGAACTTCAAGAATGGTTGTGATCATTATCTGTAGACAAAGAAGGACTCATGTGCCAAGCTCATTCATTCATCAAATGTTTAACCAGAGGGCTTGCCAGGTGCCTGACACAGTTCCTAGGACATGGGAACTTACAGTGAAGCAGGCAAGTCTATGAAGTGAAAAAGCAAACTACAAAAAAGTATTTGCAGCAAAAAAAAAGATTGTAAAAACAGATTTGCAGGATGAGCCCGTTTTTATGTTGCTTTTTAAAAAGCATACATATTCATGAAAAGTTGAAAGAATATTAATCAAATGGTGACAGTGGTTGGTGTGGTAAGATTCCAGATGACTTTTGTATTTTTTTAGTCTGTATTTTTTTCCCCAGTGGACATCTATTAACTTAAGAAAAACACAATCAAAGGTGTTTTTAAAAATTGGTTCTGAGATTCCTGGCACTCAAGGTAAAAAGGGAAACACTTCTAAAGAACATCACCCATACCAGTTCCTCAAAAGAGGCCATTTTTGTTGGCATTAGAGTTTTATGTAGAGGACACTGATATCATGAAAAACGTCCTAAAACAGCTTCTCCATAAGCGCAGACATGGTACATTACAGGTGTGTCCTGAATAATTCTTTCATAAATGAACGAATCAGTGACCAAATATCACACCTGCTCTTCTAGAGCAGTGGTTCTCAACCAGGGGTGATTCTGCCCCCTCAAGGACATTTGGCAATTTCTGGAGACTTTTTTATTGTCATGACTGTGGGGGGTGTTACTGGCATCTAATGGGTAGAGAGACCAGGGATGTTGCTAACATTCTCCAGCGCACAGGACAGCCCCCCACAGCAAAGGATTATCCAGATCAAATGTTAATATCGTCGAGGTTGAGAACCCTGTCCCTAGGGTATCAGGCCAGTTGCTGCAGCAGAAGAGGTAACTCAAGCCTGGGGATCTGGTTGCAAAATGCTCCCTCTCCTCTCAACTCAGGAGGCCCCGAAATGAAGAGCATGAATCCGGAGTTAGATCAACCGAGATTTTAGTCCTCCATTTGCCTTAACTGGCAGGTAAATTAAGTTTCTTTCCCCATCTGTAAAACGGGAATAACACAGTGCTTATCATCACAAAGCCTGGCCATGGCACTTGACTGCTTGATAAATACTGTTATTATGAGCTTTTCTTTTAGAATAGGGATTGCTTTCTACCAGCTAAAAAAACCAGCTGCTGTTGACTCGACTCCAACTCACAGTGACCCCATACATGTCAGAGTAAACCGTGCTCCATAGAGTTTTCAACAGCTGATGTTTTGGAAGTAGACTGCCAGGCCTTTGGACTTGAACCTCTAATCTTTCAGTTAGCAGCCAAGTGCATTAACCATTTGCACCACCCAGGGACCCCTTCTACCACATATTAGAGGTTTTTTTTATGTCTCAGCCTTTCTCCCCCATTAAGTGGAAACTCCTCGAAGGCCCATCCACACAAATCCTCCGAGTATCCCTCACCTCCAGTGTGTTCAGCACAGCAGCTGCATGTAGTAGATTCTCAGGAAATTTGAGAATCTGTGAAATGGTCACACTTCCCCGGGCTTCTGTCTAGAGAGAGGTGGTCTCAGAGTGCAGTGAGAGGCCTGCAAACGGGACCACGCTGAGGGGCTGGCAAGTACGGCTCTGATCTCAGCTTGGAAGAGGAGTCCTTTTGTCTCATGGCCTCCTCCTGTGCCCGTCCCTAGCCCCTCCCCACCCACAGAAGACACACAACTGTGTTGAAACTCACCCAGACCCAGGGCACCCCACGGCCATCTCTTGGGGGCAGGGAGGGAGAAGGGACACTGATTAACTCAGAAAAGGGCATAGCTTAGCAGGGGAGACATAGCAGGCCACAGTCCCAGGGGTCAGGCAAACAAAGCTCAAACTCAGTGAGGGCTGCCCAGCTCGGAAAGGGAGGCCAAGAGTCACAGGCATGCAGGGGTCAGTGGTAGCCCCGCCAGACTGTGAGCCCTTCTGGGACTGGGACTGTGTCTTACCTACCTTCCCCCACCTAGTTCAGAACAGAAGGGGCTCTGAAAACAATTGTCACTGAGTGGGCAAGGATCCAGAAACCCAACTCCAGTGTCAGGGTTTGCAAATTTGGGTCTGAAGGGCAGCTCCACCCCAAACTGCCCCTCAGTCTCTTGACCTGTAATTTGTAATAGGAGTCCCTGGGTGGTGTGAACAGTTAACCCACTCGGCTGCTAAGTGAAAGGTTGGAGGTTCAAGTCTACACAGAGGTGCCTGGTGATCTACCTCTGAAAAATCAGCCATTGAAAATCTATGGAGTAGTTCTACTCTGACACATATGGGGTCTCCATGAGTCGGAATGAACTTGACAGCAACTGGTTGGTTTAATTTGGGATAATACTATCTACCTTACAGGAGTGAGAAGTTTAAATAAAAGTGATACTGACGATCATGATAATAACACTTTCTATGGGCCTGGCAGTTTTATGCATTTTACAAATTAACTCATTTAATTCTCACAATAAGATATATGCCAAATGCCCAGCACAGTGTTTGGTACTTTATACCCACTGTCAGTCCAGTAGATTCCAACTCATAGAGACTCTATAGGACAGAGTAGAACTGCCCCACAGGGTTTGTAATCTTTACGGAAGCAGACTCCTACATCTTCTGAGGAGCGGCTGGTGGGGCTGGTGGGTTGTAACTCGAGACCTTTTGGTTAGCAGCCGAGTGCTTAACCATTGAGCCACCTGGGCTCCTCGGTACATTGTACCCAAACCCACTGCCGTCGAGTCAATTTCGACTCATAGCGACCCTATAGGACAAAGCAGAACTGCTCCATAGGGTTTCCAAGGAGCACCTCGTGGATTCGAACTGCTGATCTTCTGGTTAGTAGCCGTAGCACTTAACCACTACACCACCAGGGTTTCTGGTACATTATAAGCACCCCACATATATTACTATTCCACCTACTAGAAAGGAGTCTCTCTTGTCCCTGTTTCGAATCCAGCACTTAACTTGAAAAAACGGGAATTGGAAGAGAGGCAGAAGAAACGCCAGTGGAAGGAGAAAAGGGAAGATTCAGTGAATCCCAGGGGTGGGTCATCAATGTGAGTCAAGGGTGTAGAGGTGAGAACCGTGACATGCTAAAGACAGAGGTGTCCCTCGGCGGAAGCCAGCGCACTCAGGGGTGGGAAAATTTCGAAAATCTAGTATTAATACGAAGATGAGTGAATCGAAGGCTACTTTCCGAGAGTGGGACCTGGGAGAGCCCCGAGGAACCCCACCGAGCCGCGGGATTCGGGAAGGGAGCACCTATCGCTGAAGGTTAGTAACCACCTGAGGGAGACTGGGGGCGAACCTGAGGGATCCCCGTGGGAGGAAGGCCCGGGTGGATGGCGGGGGCACTGCAGGCAGAGACCCCGGGAGTAGGGGGGCGCTTGGGGAGTCCCGCGGGGACTGGAGCCCGGCTCGGGGGACGCCCAGAGACTCTGCGACCCCGGGCCTGGAGGTGAGGTGCTCGGGGCCTCCTCAGCCCGGTGCTCACTCACCTGGCCTCCCTCCAGGGGCGGGCCAACAGGGCGCGGCGAAGCGCGGGCGGCGGCAGCAGCATCTCGGGCTAGCAGCGCGGCTCTTAGTGGGAGCTTAAGACCAGGCAGAGCAAGACAGCAAGATCCCGCCCCGCTGGGACCGCACTACCCAGGAGAGAAAGGGGATCAGAGCACCCCCACTGTTCTACGAGCTAGGGACCAGCCGAAACCCCTTTCTATATACCTATACCTCCTGTTAATAAAACTTTTCTATGTGGCCATTAAGGAGACCACTGTGCAATGCAGGACAAGGGAAGCCCTGGAATATACGTTTTAGCCCCTCCACTGTTGATGGTATGACCCAATCGTCCTCGGGATGGAGGGGGAGAGGGCGTGAGGCCCTTTGGCCAATCAGAGTGACACATGAAAGCCCCTGAGCCAATCAGAGGGACGGTGAGGTTGCAGCCTTCTTAGGCGGGGGAGAGAGGGGCGCTAAAAAAGCCAATAGGAGAGCAGAAATGGGGCACGTGCTGAGGCTAGGCGGAAAGACCTGCTGCAGCGGGTCCCAGGTCAGCCCGTTAAGTGCTGTAGGCGTCTGGCAGCTGGGACTGCGCTTGGCTGTTGGGAGGCTCTAAATTTGTGCGGCTACCGGACTCCTCCGCCCCGCAGGGTCACACCCAGCCAGCTCATTGGCCCGGACCCAGCCGCCCTCCACCTCCCGGCCTGTCACAGGGCCACCCAGTCTCTTATGGCCTGGAGCTTTTCAAGCTCGGCCTGGTTTCTTGCAGATTATCATCAGAGCCGTTCTAGGCTTAGCTTTTCCTTCAATTCCTCTGCCGCGGAACCACTGCTCTGATCCCCCCCCCCAACCCCGCCTAAATCAAAATACCTTTTTCTCTTTGGGGAGTTGTTTGCTTGGTGAATGCTTGAACGTTATTTAAGACTCGGATTCTAAAGTCTTTCCTGATGACCGTGTCTTCGGGACCCATTCTGTTCCTAAAGTAGTTATAGACTTTCTCACACTGTTACATCTGTTTATATTTCCTCAAGCTGCGTGAACCGAGTTCCTGCTTGGGAGACAGAGTTCTGATGCTGATTCTGGTTTTTCCATATGACCACATGACTTTGGGCAAGTGACATAACCTCCCTGGGCCTCAGTCTCCTCATCTATAAAATGGGGTTAATAATTATTATTAGTTACCATGGAGGTGGCTGTGACTCATGGCGACCTTACGTATAACAGAATAAACTGTTGCAGGTCCTGGGCCATCTTCATGATTGTTGGTATGCCTGAATCCATTGTTGTGGCTATTTTGTCAATCCCTCTCACCGAGGGTTTCCCTCGTTTTTGCTGGCCCACCTCAAAATGCCTATCATCTCATGCCACTGCTTTTCCTCCTGAAGAGCACACCATTTAAGAGACTTTGGGGAATCGGAACGCGCGCAGAGTGAGAAGTAAGAAAGAGAAACTACATGAGTGCATATCTTAAAGATGGCAAAAAAGGAAATTGGAATTGGCAGCGGCTGTTTCTCTTCATCCTTGGAGAAGACCCTAGTCAGGTAGGCCCAGTTCAGATGGGGCAATGTCTTCTTGAATTTGGCCATTAACAAGAAAAAAAACTAGAGCGTTGGACAATATCAAACCCAGAGCCTCTCCTGGGTACTGTGTGGAGGTTTAAGATGTGAGGGCTTTGTGGTTAACAGGACCTCAGTACCAAACCAGACTATGCCAGTTATTCAGCCTGTGACCTCCCTGGCCCTGTCTTCTGTAAAATGTATATGATAATCCCTGCTTTGTCTCCTTTCGAAGAATTCATTGTGAGATGCAAGTGTAACAGGTGATGTGAGATTTCCTTTTTCTAACTAATTGGCTAATTAGTTTGTTTCAGTCCTCCTGCCTCTCCCATCCCAAAATTTTCATCCTCAATTAAAAAAAAGAAGCACTATCAATTCTAAGACATTTCTCTTTATTTAAAAGAAGCCAATATACAGGATATAAAGGGCATGATATTTACAACAGTACAGTAAACAGGTTGGTGTTCAGTAGGATCAGTAGTCTTTCAGTGAGTATAAACCCTCCCCCTTCCCCTTGATGCTAGACCCAGCTGGAGACAAACAGCAAAGGTGGGGTGGGATGGGATCACAGGATATAAAGTCTCCCTGGGTGGGGTTAAAAATCAGGTAGATGCTCAAATGTCCACACAAGGGTCTTGGGGGGGGGTACCTTTATCTCATTTCTTTGAGGGGCTGAAAAGGGGAATTCGAGGGATTTGCCCAATACTAGCACACAGCCCACTCTGAGCCTGGAATACTCCACCATGGAAAATTCCCTTGGAGAGAGAATATGGCTTTACTCTTGCCCACTCAGCTGCCTCCAGACTCTCCACTCTAGGACCAGAGCTCACTGTCTCAAGGTGGATGACTCAGGTCAGAGAGACCCCCCAGCACCTCATCCCGCAGCCTGGAGGAACACAACCAGGACTGCAGGTGAGTTCCTGGCCTGCAGTAGGCACAGCCAGGGCTGGACTCTGAGCATCTCCTGGCATTTCCACTCCTGCTCCAGCTGCCTGACAACCTGAAACCCACTGAGACCCAGGCACGGAGGATGCTGTGTGCTCCCTGAACCCACAGCCCTAAGGCCACACTCTGCTGCTTCTCGATCATCTCCCAAACACAACTGGCTTGGAAGTAGATCTTGGCAGACCAGAGTTAGAGTAACTAATCAGAGCTTACCCTCTGAAGGAGAGCTTGCTCCCAACCTCAGTACCCCTTACCCCCTCCACCCACCTCAATTTCTAATTCCCCACTGCCCACCCACCCCCACAAGCACCCCCCCAAGACTTCCAAGGACCAAGGAGCTGGGGGAGGGTCAGGGAAGAGGACAATGGGGTGAGATGGGTCCTACGCTCCACAGAAGTCGCTCATCACTGTGGATGACTAGGAGGTGAGGACAGGAAGAAGACAGGTTGAAGGGTACTGATTATATTAAATCCAGCAGCAACATGCACAACATCTTGTCCACGGAAAAACGTTGGGCTACCACAATTGCCTACCCTAGATTAAAAAATCTTCCCTTTCATAAAAATAGATGAGAGTCTCTTGCTTTATAAATAGATTACATTTAGCTTAAGTTACACCTTACATAATCCCCTACCCCACTCCCTCTACCCTCATCCCAAGACAAAGTGGTTTGGTTCCCATAGATCTGAGCTACACCCACAGAGCTAAGTCTGTGATGAACACACGAGTACACAAATTCTGCCTGGTTCTTCAGCAACCTCAAGATATGTTTGCTACAAGAAAACAACATGTGTTTGTTTGCTGATAACTTTTTTCCCTGTTTCAAGTCTCATGGGAGTGTGAGTGTTTATGTGTGTGTGTGTGTTCCACAACCAGGGAGCCAAAAGGAAGCTACTCTCCCTGCCCCTTCCCAATCCTCTCTTTTTATAAACCCCCCAAAAATAGGAGAGTGAGAGAGGGCAGCAAGGGAGAGCCCATCTGAGAACAATTCTAAAATACCAATGTCAATATGACACTGGGCTTAGAAATAGAAAACCAAAATTAAGTATATACAGCTTTACAAAGGACAGACCAGGTTGTGCCAACCCGGCCTGGTGCTGCCCCAGCGAGCGTTGGGGTCTTTCTTGGCAAGCTGTGGGCTCATGGCAAGGGGACAAATAGGGCCCACTGGCAACTAACTCAAAAAAGAACTCGGTGGGGAGGGGGGCAGCCAGGCCAAGACCCAGGAACCAGCCCCGGAGGCAGGTTGACCACACCATTGCTGTCTTTCCCCCCATTCACCTGCCCCCAACCCCTGCTCCCAAGTGGAGAGCAGCTATTGGAAACCAGCAGGAAGGAGCTCTCGGACCAGCATCTCTCTGGCTCCTGCCATCTCCATACTCTCTAGACAAATTCACAGCACCCTCATCTCCAAAGACAAATGACCTATGTATACAAGGGGGAAAGCAAAAATAATACACCAGACACCAGTCGCCATGGTAACCTTTGTTACCCTCAAATACTTACACTGTTGCTTTACTGTCTTAACTCTAAAGATATGTCTGTCACCCTCCCACTACCTTGAGGAACAACCCAGGGCTGGCTTCCGTGCTGCCTACCTCACCCCCAAACCATGCCATTCAATACGCCCCTCAGCCCTGGACAGAGGAGACCCACCGAGGGTGGCCATTGTCCTGTCCTCGGGGAAACGGAAAATCTTTTCAGCAGCTGAGGTCCAAGCCCAACTGGCTCTGATAACCTTTGGTTACAATTAAAATAAAACAACAATAATAACAACAACAATAATAATAATAATAAGGTATGTTTGAACCCTGTAACCTTTAGAAGGAGGGTCTGTGAGGAGGAGAGGAAGGGCTGTCTCTCCTACAAAACCACCATCCCTCCAAGTACCTATCAAAGGACTGTTTGGCTAATAAGAGATGCTGGGAATGGAAGCCTCTTGGCCAGACTGCCACAGGGAACCAGTAGGGTATTCCCCCAACAAAACACAAAAGAAAAGAAAAAACTCATGATAAAGGCCACCAAGGTCTGATAAATTACACAAAGTCACTAACATACTCTCACTCTCTCTTTCCATATATATATATATATATATATATATAATATGAATATTATGTACAATGGCAAAGACTGCAAACAGAGGGGCGAAATGGAAGAGAGAGAAGGCCCTTTAAGGTTGCTGGTGCCCTGGGGAGGAAAGACAGGGGCCACAATCCCACCCAAAGCCCGAGCCCCCTCCTCTGCCTCCAGACACAGGAAGTAGGAATTAAGTTCTGGTCTTTAGACACATTTTACTTCTTTGACCTCCAGGGGGCGCTCCTGGGCCAACAAAAGCAAAAATTAGCCACCCCACCACTGTCAAAAAAAAAAAAAACAAACCATTGCCAGTCGATTCCGACTCATAGTGACCCTATAGGGCAGAGTAGAACTGCCCTGTACAGTTTCCAAGGAGTGGCTGGTGGATTTGAACTGCCAACCTTTTGGTTAGCAGCCATATCACTTAACCACTGTGCCACCAGGGCTCCCACACCACTGTAGTGGGTACAAAAAGAAAAAAAAAAAAGGGCCTGCTAGGCTGTCTCCAAGTTAAGATGTGGTGGTGGTCTCAACACAGTGCCCTGCAACTCAGGGCCGCTCAAGTCTTGGGTAGCTACTGACTCAGATGAACTTCCCAACTGGTCAGTCAGTCAGTGAATTACGAACAGAGGCTTGCATATGTCCATGAGCGGAACAGAGGATAGTCCTCACTCAAGCTTCTAATCCCACCACCTCCAATCTGCCAGCAGCCCTCACTGCCTCCCTCCCTTCCCCCTTCCAATGCCTCTTTCCTGCCAGTGGTCAAACAGCGGGCAACTTAGGGACAGTGGAGAATCAAGACGGCAGCAGGCCAATACTAACCAGAGCTCCACTGTGAAAGGGGGTGGCCTGGCCCCCTTCAGACTTTCTCACAGAGAAATCACAGGTCTGTAATACCTTGGAGTTGGCTGGAGATGGGGGAAAGAGCATCAAGTCACTGGGGCAATAAAAGACCCTCCCAAACCAACAAGGTCCCAAAGCAAGCAAGCAGGTGGGCTGAGGGCCTTGCAGGAACCCAGGCCTAGCTACCAACCTGGACCAAACTCCCCTCCCAAGACAGTGCTCACCCTCAAAGGCTGCAAGAGAGGTGGCCCTAGCTTCTGCCTCCCTCCCAGCTCCAGGGGGAAACCATGGGTCCAGGAGAGGGCCTACCTTCCACAATGAAATAAGGCAAGCTGCTTTTTTTGTTTGTTTGTTTTGTTTTTTTTGCATAGTAGTTTAAACATAGTGAGGCTCTACCTCCCCCTACAGTGCCTCATCCCTTCACTTTGCCACTCGATCCAAAAAGAAAATAAAAATGTGTTTTTGCTCCCTCCTTCCATCTTTCTCTCTTTCAATGAGTGAGAAACATTTGGGAGGTCCCCACCCAGGCCTGGAAAGGTTGCAGAAGCAAACAGCTCCTTCCTGGGGGAGGCTGACTACCCCAAGCCCCAACTCAGTGCTGGCAGGTAGAAGAAGGGAGGGCAGAGTTCATGGCCAATCAGAGGAGCAGGTGGGAGGGTAGAAAACCACATTATACCATGCCCGGGGCCCCCGCCGTCACCTTAGAGTTTTGTATAAAAACACCTGCTAGGAATAATTCTTTGGAGCTCAAAGTGGCTCAGCTTAAGGGAAAAGGCACAGTTAACACTGCATCATCTGGACAGAAGTCTGCATTTGTGATGTGGAGAACAATAGAAATTGACAGCACCATTCCTTGGGTGGAAGGATGGAGAAGGGGCACTGGTTGGTGGTGGGGAGTGTGGAAGGAAGGAAGGAAGCAGCAGTCTCTCGGGGCCTCCAGAGAAGGGAGGACGTAGGAAGTCTGTGTGGTGAGGACGTGAGCCCTACCCCAGGAGCCTTCATGGCCCCATGGGGGCAGGGGGCAGGGCCCCATCTCCGACACCACCAGGCACTCAGGGCCTCAGACATCAGCTGACCATGGGCTCCACATCCGCCTCCCGCTCAAACTCATCCTGGATTTCATCTGTACTTCCTGAGTCGCTGCTGGCCACGGAGCTGGGGGATGGGGAATTTCTGGAAGGCAAAGAGAGAATGGGGATATTCAGAGGGCAGGTTGGGGACTCCTGAAGGATTCAAGGAGCCAGGAAGGCTGAGTGGCCACTCCCATAACATCTCACCTCAGAGGGGGACCCTACTCTGAGACCCTGCCCCACCTCTGCTTTGCTCAGAATCTTCTATGCTCTCGAGTTGAACATGGCTCTCAAGACTTCTTGGGGCCCCTGCACCAGCCTTGAATTGGTCTGGGTGCTTTAACTTCACTAGACTAAAAGCTCCCTGGGAGCAAGGACCATGAATTAAACTTCGTTCTTACTCTCCCATCATCTAACATAGGTCTGGGTACATAGTGTTGTTGTTTGCCATCAAGTCAATTCTGACTCATAGCGACCCTACAGGACGGAGTAGAACCACCCCACAGAGTTTCCTAGTCTGTAATCTTTACAGGAGCAGATCGCCAGTTCTTTCCTCCTGCCAAGTCAATGGTGGGTTTGAGTTGATGACCTTTCATTTAGCAGACAAGCACTTGAACATTGCACCACCCGGGTACTGAACTGCTGACCTTTCTGTTAGCAGCCAAGTGCTTAACTGTTGCGTCACCAGGACTCCCGGGTATATAGTAGGTGCTCAGTAAACCCCAATTAACTTCAATTCAAAGGGAGGCCATACAGGTGGGTTTGAATTCTGGCTCTGTGACTGATGAGCTATGGGGTCCTTGGACAAGTTACTTAGCCTGCTAAGCATCAGCTCTTCCATCTGAATAACAGATAATACAGTGGGTTCTGAGGCATTAAATGAGTTGAAGGTATGATGTGTTAAGCTAGGGCCTCGCACACACTGCTTCCCACAGAGCTGTCTCTCCCTCCTTCATAGTCTAAACCACAGCCTTGAACCACAAACACAGTAATAGAGTTACGGTTAAAAAAAAAGAAAAAAGAAAAAACTACAGTTAACATCTATTTTGTGCTTTGTGCAAGCATTTTACATGCATTCTCTCATTTTATTATGAGACTGTCTCCCAGTAAGGCTGCATGTTCTTGAAGGCAGGGGCTCTGTTTTTGTCTTTGTGTCCCCCAGAAAATAAAATATGCCTAGTGCTTGCCAGTCTCCTGAGGACAGACCCAGCCAGCCCTGGGTTGGAAGATGGGAAAGAAAGGGAAATTGCTTCCTACAGACAAACATTAGCCCAATCGGCAATGGTGGAGACAGTGCCCTGCCCACTTCCTCCACTCGCCAGGTCAGCAGAAAACAGGGTATAAGCACCATGATGGCAGGGGCTGTGACTGTTTTGTTCAGCACTGTATCCCCATGGCTTGCACATAATAGGCCTTCAACAAGTAATGCTGAATCAATAGGGGGAGTGGGTTTGTTGTGGTGGCTACTTGAGATTAGATATGAAAGGCCATCTAGCACATAGTAGGTGCTCTAACATTCATTGGATGGATGGATGATGGATAGATGGTTAAATGAATCAATCAATAGAAGGAAGGATGGGTAGAAAGATGATGGACGGATGGATAGATGGATGGATGGATGGATGGATGGATGGATGGATGGATGGATGGATGATTGGATGGATGGACAACAGACAGACGGAGGATGGGCTGGGTGGATGAAATGTGGCCAAGCTGAAAGTTGCAGCCCCACCGATTCCCCTCAAACACCCAACCACTGAGTCCCCAGGAAGGGCAGGGCCAGTACCTGTCTGCAGAGCCTTTGATGAGCCGGCGACAGGTCTCCATCTGCACATCCAGGCCCCGCTTCATGCTGCACATCTCCATGTACTCATGCAAGTGTCGGTTCATGTCGCTCTTGGCTGTGGCCAGCTCCAGCTAAGATGAAGCCACAGGGGATAAGGGTGAGGGCACGTCACCCTCAGAGCAGAACCCTTGGCATCCTCCTTCTTTGCTTCCTCAGTGGTAGCACCATCAAGGCCACCGTTGCTGTGCCCTTGGGACCCAGCCTCAAAGGCTTCAACCTCCCTCGGCCTCTGGACCCATCTCTCTGTTTTCTGCATACTGGTCCATATCCTCTGTAACTGCTTCTGGTCAAAGGGGAATGGTTGATTAGCAACCCCAGGGACACCTTCCCTGATAAGCCCTGCCCAGTTCTGATAATTCCACCAGCCTCTGTCCTTTAGGGTCACTATGAGTTGGAATCGACTCGACGGCAATGGGTTTGGTTTTCTTTTCCAGCAGCTCTGAACTCCTTTATATGGACTTAATCATAAAAGTCCTTAAGTCTCTTTCATGTTTCTCACCCTTCTCCTCTTTCTTCGGTATGACAATAGCAATGACTCTCATTGCTATTAGGGTTTCCTAGGCTATAATCTTTACAAGTGGTCAAGTGCACAGGCTCTGGGGCCAGACAGAATTGGGCTTGAATTCTGCTTCCTGGCTATCAGGCTGTGGGCGAGTCACTTGGTCTCTTTTAGGCTCATTTTCTCCTCTGTAAAATGGGGGTCACAGTACCTACACATGCGGTGGTGGTAAGGATACTAGGAAGAATGTACTTGTAAAGGGTTTCCTCAGTGCATAGCATCACTCAGTATCATTTACTATGGGGTCACCATCACAGCTGAATTTTTTTTTTAAAAAAAAACCCTCTGGGGCAGGCAGGGATTGCCACTCCCATTTTATAGATTAGGAAACTGAGGCCCTAAGAATGGCATGACTTGCCTAGAGCCAGGCAGGGAATCAGGCCTCCTGATTCCGGTCCTATGCTTTCCCCACTCTATCACCCCTGCCCACATAGGCACTTCATCACCAGGGGTCTCAACCATGTGGCCTTCAGTCGAGCCTCCCTCATAGGCTCTGCAGCCCGAGCCCTCACCTCGATCTGGCCTATTGTTTCCTGGTACTCCTTATCTCTCGTTTTGAAGAAGGATTCCGTCTCATGGATCAAGTTACCCAAATTCTCCTCCTGCTGGGGAAACAGAACAAAGGAGACGTGGTGGGTGGTGGGGGCCACAAGGAAAGAACAGGGATGAGGGATAATTGGAAGGAGGAGCTGGGTGAGGGCTCCAGGGGAATGGGCCCTCCAGGCCCCACCTCGGCCTCTGGGAAGCCAGACCTTGGGCTTACCTCCCCCTGCAGGTCGATGGTGGGATTGCAGTTGGTGAAATCCTCCCAGAGCAGCAGCGTGTCTTCATTCTCTTCCCATGTCAGGCTGTCACAGTCGTCGTCAAAATCAAAGGTCTCCCGCCTATGGGGGTGACACAGAGGACATGATTGAATAGACACCCAGGCTCCCAGGCTCCTATGATATGGGGGTGGGGTGGGGGATGAGGCAACTGCAAAAAAAGACTGAGTAGTGGCCAAAGGGGACATTCACCTTATCCACGGAGTTTAACTCTTTTAAAATGCAGAATGTATTTATGTACTATTCGTACAATTAAAATGTATATTTTAAAGATGCTAGATTTTAATTATGGAGACTGAAAACATTTTCCCCAAGTCTCATCTTGTTATTTTTTTTCAGTCATTTCACAGCTATCTCCTGAGTCCCTACTTTGACCAAAAGGATTTATGTAATCTTCTCAGTAGCCTGGAAAGGCTGATGTTTTGCGGACAAGGCAATTGCAGCTCAGAATAACTCAAGTGTCTTAAGTCACACAGCTAGCAAGTAGCAGAAGCTGGGGCTCAAAACCAGATCTGTTTCCTACAGCTTTTTGTCCCTTATCATAACATCACCAAGCACCTGGACTGGCTACTAAGCTTACATTAAAATGCAATTAGTTTCATCCTCACAACAATCCTATGAGGTAAACATAATTATTATTCCTGTTTTACAGATGAGGAAACTGAGGCTCCAAGGGTTAGGTGGCCTTCTTGACCAATACATGCTGGACACTGGACTTGAATTCAAAGCCTGTGTGATTTCAGGGCCTCCCTATTCATCAGAAGAAGCCTGGGTGGCACAATGGTCAAGTGCTTGGCTGCTAATTGAAAGGTCATCGACTCAAACCCACAATTGACACAGCAGGAGAAAAGACCTGGCGATCTGCTCCTGTAAAGACTGTTGTTGTTGTGTGCTGTCAAATCAATTCCAACTCACAGTGACCCTATATGACAGAGTGAAACTGCCTCATAGGGTTTCCAAAGCTATAATCTTTACAGGAGCAGATCACCAGGTCTTTTCTCTCACAGAGCCGCTGGTGGGTCCGAACCACTGACCTTTCACCTGTAAAGATGACAGCCTGGAGAACTTTAGGGGGCAGTTCTTCTCTGTCATACAGGGTCACTATGAGTCGGAATTGACCCGGCAGCACAAATAACAGCAACAACGATTCACTAGAACTGGAAGCAGCGTGACCAACCACACAGGTTTGCCTGGGACTGAAGGGTTTCTCAAGACACACTGATTACCCCAACTGGAAGGGACCTTAAAGATCACTTGGTCCAACACAGACAGGGAGGTTAAATCACTTGACCCAGTAAATGAGTGGCAGAGGAGGGCATGGATCTTGAGTCTCCAGATTCCCATCCCAGGGCTCTCCCTATTGCCTCCCTCAACTCCTTCCTGGATCCTCCAGGGCACTGCTCCCAAGGGTCAGACAATGGACCGGGCTGGGAACCAATAGGCAGAGCCCAAGAAGAACTTCTGGTAAAAAGCTGCCTGGCGCACTCCCTGGAGCCCAGCCACACTGGTTCCCTGCCAAAAAGCAGTTCCTGCTGGAGCCTGTAGGTGGCTCTGTGAGTCCAGGAACCAGAGCTGATGGCTGTGGGGCAAGGAGAGAGAGGCGATGCTGGCCCCCACTAGCCAGAGCCTGAGCCCCTGGGGTCCAATCATCACTGCATCACATACTCCTGACTTCACTTCCTTTCCAGTGTCTGGGGTCTGAAGGAAACCACAGCTGAGGGAAAAGACAGGAAGATGAACAAGAGGAAGGGCTTGGCAGAGGGTCCCCTCCCTTGATAAGACTGGAGGGCGGGGTTGAGGAGGGCCAGCTGCCCAAGGTGGCAGAGAAAGAAGCAAATTCCTCCTCTTCTCCTTGGTCTGAAGCCCAAGCAACCAACTTTGATCAAAATAAAACACAGATCTAACGTGTGCATTATTCAAAAACTTCCGAAGAACCGGCTGGGGGCAGTCTCCTGTTGGGTCTTAGCCTGTAGCAAGTGAAGATGTCAGGGGGAGAAGCTAGGGCCCCACCTAGGGTGGGGCCAGCAGGGCCGTGGCTAGAACTGCAGCAAGGAGAGTGTGCGTCTGATGGCGGAATTTTTTTTTAACTTAGGCAACTTTACAGCCAGATAAATCTAATTGTATACTGACTCAATTCAGACCTGCCAACACCCAGGCACTGGTTTCTGCAGCATCTGCTATCAGCTTGACTGTGGGCTGAATGCTCTTCCGTACCCTCAGGAGCATCTACCAGTGAAGCCGTGCCCCGAAGCCCCCTGCACTCAGCTCTCTCGGGATGTGCCCCTTTGCCGGTCAGCTTAGGGATTCCCTGGTGACTTTATAAAAACGCAGAGCAAGGATTTCTTCAGAGAAGCCCAGTAATTCCACCAAACTAATCCAGCCTCGGGTCTCTGGGGCCACACAAGCCTATCTTAGGCTCAGGGATGCCTAGGGAAAATCTAGACCCAACCAATGATCCTTTTCAAAAGCCCCTCTTTGATAATTAGCAAAAGATGAGAATATGAGATTTGGGGATGATATTGAAAGATGAAGTAAGAGTCTGGGGGTCTCTATATCACCTTCAAATAGCAAACCACCTAAATACAGCTTCCTATCTCAGTTTTGTCTCAGTGGGATGGTGAGTACAAGGAAGTCTCAGGCAAAGGAACTCTCATCCTTGCCCAGGTTCCTATTCCTGCCCATGCCTGCTGGTCTCCCAATGAGTCAGCCGGTCTCAGCTGGCAAAGGGACCAGTGTGCAGAGGAGGCAGAAGAGGGACATCTCTTCCAAGCATGAAGACACTGGTGTAGAGAACAGAGCACTGGACCAAGACTCGGGGGGCACAGCTCTGTCACAAATGCCTATGCCCCCTTGAGCATGTCACAGCCCCTCTCTGAGCCTTAGTACAAGGAAGCAGTTGGACCAAGAGATCTTTGGACCCTGTAATGCTACAGCTTTGCAGGAGAGGCGTGTGCCTGGCTTTTGAAACGAATACGATGTCAGAACACCTGCTAACGGGGTGTGCCCCTCTGAAGGGTTCTGGGAGGGGTTATCAGGGCTCATTAGAGCCAAGGGCTCAAACCTAGCCCTGCTGTTGGAAACCAGGACTGCAGGGAAGGGACCAGGCCAGAAAGCTCGCTCAGCCCTGAGACGCTGATACAGGAGTGAGGGGTGAGGTGGAGGTGAAGGGTGGGAGGAATGGAGGCCTGGGGAAAAGCTGAGTTCTCGGGATCCAGGTACTGTGAGGGACTCAGAGACAGAGCAGGCAAGGGCGGGCTGGTGGACTCGGGGGAAAGGCGGACCCCACAGACCCAGACCCAGCCCTCCCATGGCCCTTAGGCAAGTCACCCAATGCCAGCAGCTGCACCTCTCCCCTCTCCCTCCCCACTTTAGGACAGAATATAGATCATAGTTAAAGATGGGTCATGATTCAGAGCATGGCACTGAATAAACCAGGGCCACACTGCCCTCCCTGCCCCAGGTATACTACGTCCAGTGATATTCTGGTAAACCAGCTTTTAGGGTCCGGGACGGGGAAGACCCTGATCAGACGCATTTGCTATTTTCCACCATGGCCAACATTAAGCTGTGAACATGATATCACTGAACGTGGAGTGGGAAGAGATGTGCACAACCCCTGACCATACCCAGCCCAGACTGACCCAGGCAGCATTACAAAGTGAGAGAGCCAGGCAGACAGGCCTGGGGCAGAATCCCAGCGTTGCTGTGTATTAGCTGAGTGGTCTTGGCCAAGGTGTTTCCCCACTCGGAGTCTCAGTTCTTGCATCTACAAAGTGGGGGGGATAACCCCTACCTCCTAGACTGGTGATCTGGAGTCAATGAACTCACGCCGGAAGCACCTTGCTTATGCAGGATGCTCAGTGAAAGCTGGGGCTCCTTCTTCAGCTGGTGTGGTGGCATCCAGCGTGTGGATCAGCTCAACTATCCCACCACAAGGAAACTAGTGGGAGGGGTCTAAGGCTTGATCAAGAATAGTCCACAAATGACCTTTGTCCTGGGGTGGTGCAAACAGTTAATGCGCTCGGCTGCTAACCTAAAGGTTGGAGGTTTGAGTCCACCCAGAGGCACCTCAGAACAAAGGCCTGGCAATCTACTTCCAAAAAATCAGCCACTGAAAACGCTATGGAGCACAGTTCTACCCTGACACACACAGGGTTGCCGTGAGTCGTGTGGTAACTCTGAACAACTTGACCCTTTCTGGATTCATGAAGTCACCAGACACAGAAACTTCTAAACATGACCAGGGAGGGGACAGCCCAGCCCCTTCTTCTCAAGGGAGAGAAGAGCTGAAGCAACTCCCTCCCCCCACCTCTGTTCTGTCCATCTGCTGCCTTGGAGGAAGCTCACCAAGGGAAAGGAAACAGACGGGGACAGGTAACATAAAGGGCCTTGGCAACCTAAAGAGCACCTGCTGTGCCCGGAGGCAGCCGCCGATAACCGGCTCCTGGCAACTGTGCTGTGGGGCCCGGTGAGGCCCGATTGACTCAACTTTTCAAGAGAGGCTGCAAATGTGAAAGTCTCCAAATTCTCAGTGTTGAAAATGAACCCACATTCTTTGAAAACACCATGCTGGTGAAACAAACACATCCGCGGCCTCCTTGCAACCCAGCCCACCAGCTGCCACGCCTGCCTTAGTGATCAGGATTGGGGGAATCGGAGAGGGGCCCCACAGTGCTGGGCGGGGGTACTCACAGCTGGTTGAACACGCGCTTCATCTCATCTGTAATGTTCATGGAGCCGACCTCGTCGTCCGAGAACCGGTTCACTTCTCCATCCTGCTCAGAGATGTCATCGTCCGAAGCCACCTTCCGCTCTTTCTTTTTGGGGACCACCTGAATTGGAAAGGAAGAGATCAAGGTAACTAGGAGGCTCTGCTGAGATGGGGGGTGGGAGCAGGCATGAGGAGGGGAGCCGGCATCCCACGGGCGGATGGAACGTGGCTGGGGCCAACCACTGGCAGGAAAGATGCGCAGGTCCTCTACGAAGCAGGCAGTGTTAGCACAAAGCGTAAAGTGGGGGGGCATGCAGGATGGAGGACATGGATGGCCTGGACCCTTCCCCTGCCCTGGGAGGCCTGCTGGCTGGGCTGGCCCCTCGTCAGAGAAGCAGTCCTACAATTTGGGGAGAAGAGCAGGCCAGACCAGACGGCAGAGCCACCTGGGACATCTCAGAGCCAGCCAGAGAGATGGAGAACCCCTCACAGAGGCCAAGATCACTCCATTCTTCCCAGAGCCTTCTTGCTCACATGCAAAAGCAACGGGAGGCAGCCCAAGAAACACCAAGCTTCGACTCCAAGCAGATAAGACACAGGCAAATGGCTGCTGAATTGGTCTCCTGCTTCCCTGCAGGGGGGCAGTGAAAAGGCAACGAGAGGAGAAAGGGCCCCAGAGAAGCCCACATCTTGCCCAACTATGTCCAAGGTCACACACTTAAAGCAACAACACACTGTATGGCCCTGAGCTCAAGCAAAAGCCAGACCACAACCCAAAACACAAGAAGCAGCCTTCCGAGAATGACATGTGCCCTTCCGTCCGCTGTACTGGGAGGACAGACCTTCTCTCAGGGACACACACACTTTCACATCAGGTTGGGGGGAATAGAGAGATTCCCAGTGGGAACAAAAATGGTTAAAGGCCAACAGCTCCTCTTCGGAATTCTGAGGTCACCTGGCAGGGCTCAGGCCAGCTCATCCAGTTCTCCCCACTGCCTGGCCAGGGCTCCCCAACTGGGGGGATGATGGCCAGTTGTGGCACACAGGGGAAGGGGCCTCAGGCAGAGCAGAGGCATAGTGTGGGGCAGAGGAACGAGCATTGGAGAGTCATGAGACCTGAGTTCTTGTCCTGCCTCTGCCACTTCCCTCCTGGAGTATACACGTCATGTCACTCCTCTGGGCCTCAGTCTCCGTGGCCACAGGATGAAGCAATCAGACTAGATCATGGAGTCAGAGGGTCTACACTATCCAGGGGTTCTACGTTCCCTGGTTCTACGTTCTCCAAGGGATGCCAAAGGGGGGTAAATGCTACCTCTTGGGGAAGGGAAGTGAGCGGAGCGTCGGGGAATAAAGGGCTGGCCAGGTAGGAGTCAAGGCCAGGGCTGCTCTGGAAGGGGCAGTGGTGGGCAGGTAGGCACTGGTGAGCAGGGTGGCCCTATTCACCTGGAAGATCTTGGACACGTCTTCCGAGTTCCGCTGCTGTGCGACATCGCACAGCTTGGCTGTGATATCGATTCGGCGGCAGATGTCCATGTCCACCTTCATGGCCTTTTCTTGGATCTTTGTGTCCAGGTCTGTCATGGGCTGCAGGGAGGACAGCAGGGGGTTATGTGAGCAAGGAGTGGAGCAGGGATGAAGGGGTGGGCAGGCGGGGAGTCGGACCCAGGCTCCTGGCAGTGGGCAGCCCGCAGAGTCCAGGGGAGCCCTGAGCTTTTCCTGGGGTAAAGGGCTGGGTCAACGCTGCTCAGGCTGGGGTCGGGGTGGGGAGAGGCCTCGGGGGTTAAGGGCTTTGGCGCCCAGTGGACAATGTGAGAACATGTTTGCTGGTCTCCCTAGGGCTGGAAGGCATCCTCTCTGCAGACAGAGTCAGTGTTTATTTTGTTAAAGCGAAGAAAAAACAAAGACAACTCACACTGTTGAAAGACTGCCCTCTTTTCCCAACCTGCAGCCCAACCTGTCCCCCACACAGAGGTGCCTGCTGAGGCAGCTCTCTCTCCGGGATTCCTCCCGTGGCTGACAGCAGGGGTCGGCTAGGATGGGGGGTGCCCCATGGATCCAACTGAAAGGAAGCCAGGTGGCCTCCACCTGAGGAAGCTCCTTCCCACCACACCCAGCCCCGTTGTCCCTCAGCACCAGAAACCAAGCCAGGAGTCATCCCAACTCCTTCTCCTTTCTGCCCACTGAGTGAAGGTGGCAGGAAACCCAGGTTCCCGGCAGGAAGGAGGTCTTCGCTGCCAGCAACACCCCCACCCCCCACCATGGTTACTCAGAGAGGCCCTGGAATGTCAAAAGGACACATGCTGGCCTTTCTTGACATTCCAAAGCAAATCTGCTGGAGGCCGTTGGCCCTGGAGCCTCTGGGGCTACAGAGGCCGGACCTGGGGTCTCCCTCACCCTACAGTGAGCCCTGCCCTGCCAGTCCCCCAACTATGCCTAGACATGGAGACCACAGTCACCACCCGCCCTTATCAGTGGCGACTGGGAAGGAGTCCGACCGAACACACACAGACCGTCAGAGGAGCCCTGGGGAGGGCGGGATAGGTTAAGCGGCAAATTAATGCATCTCTACTCAGACCAAGGGGAAGCGGAAGTGGGAGGGGGGCGCGAGAGGAGGGCGCCTGGTCTCCGATGCATCCGTCATCCTCATGGTCAAACGCAGCAGCCAGGATTCTAACTAGAAGCCGAGCTTCCGGCCGCCTCGGAGTGAATGAAGCATTTTGCATGATGGGGGTGGGGGGATCATGACGCCTGGGGTGGCAGTCGGTGGCACTTACGTCACTCATGAGCCCCTTAAACACCACCAGCTCAGCTTTGAGCCGCTCGATCTTCTCATTCATCTCCTCCTGGATGGCGTCAGCCTCTTGTGCCGCCTGCAGGGACAGAGATGGGAGGCCTTAGGCAGGCCGGGCACCCTGAAGGGGAGAGGGAACCGGACACCTGGGTCCAAGCCCTGGACGCCCAATGTCCAACCAGGCTGGGCACCTACAAGCTTGGGAATGGGGTGCCCAGGCCAGGCCTCCTCCCAGCCTGGCTTCCCACTGGGCCCTGCTGACTATGGGGCACCACTCAGCCAAAAACACTTTTCAAAGGACTATTTATTGCATGGAAAAATCCATGGCAGACATTATGGGACAAAGAGTAGGTTCATGAGACAAATGATTCCAGTATGCTAAAATAGTAGGTTGACTGATGTGAAATTGCCAGCATTTGACCATTTCTGATCTCAAAAAACCGCAACGTCATGTGTTACACCTAATACATGCATCTAGAGTGGGTGTGTGTTTGCATAGAAAAGGCTGGAGGGTTAAATACCAATTCATCAACTGTGGAAGGGTAGCACTAGAGGTAATTTTTACTTTCCTCTCTGTGTTTTTCTGAATTTTCCAAATATTTGACTGTGAACATGTTTTTTTTTTTTTTTTTGAAGGTATTTTTACTATTCAAGAAGGGGGGGCATTTGCTCTTTTCCTTCTACACATCTATACTATTTGAATCTATCTTGACTTTTTTTAACAAGATAAATGCTTAAAATATCAACAGATAATTTTTTTAATTTTTTGCAAGATCTTTTCATGCAGTCTCATGGGATTGCTACTCTTGTTCCCATCTGAGAGGAAAACAGAGGCAGAGAAGGTGGGTGAGCAGCAGAGCCCGGAATGCAGAGCTGCTGAGCTGGAGCAGCAAAGGAAGTCCTCAACACCTGCCGTACAGAGTCTGCTGTGGCTGGGTGGCCACCTGTTGACACGTCCACCCACCCTCTGAGGTATTCAGCCCCAAGTCATCCAGCAAGCTGGGGCAGTGCTGGGACTTGAACTCAGGCGTCCCAACTCCCATATACGAGCTTTTCTGCAACATTGTGCTGTCCACTCCCAGCTCCAAAGTGGGGGAAGAGGAAACAGCCCTTTGGCACCATAGAGGAGAGACTGAGGCACCAGGAGGTAGCATAGAGGTGGACGCTGGGCTGGGAATTGACTCCTGGCTTTGCCCCATGAAGTCTGTGCCCCTTGGCCACACGGGTCTCCCTCATGTCTCTTCTGGTCAGGACCTCTGAAGGCTCTTACCTCCTGGAGCGTGTCCACCATGGTCTGCAAGTTCATGCGCTTGGCGAGCTCCTCCTCCCATCTGCAAGAGCCAAGAAGGACAGGCGGTCAGACAGTTACCTCCCTACTGCAGTCTGTCCAGCAGACACAAAGCCAGCACCCACCGTGGACTTGTCCCGGCCAGAGCAAGGAAGACGCAGGGTGAATTCATCCCTGCCTTCTGCAGAACTCCCAGTCTAGGGGGGCGGGAGGGCAGCCCGGTCGGCACATAACCACAACAGCAGGTAGCAGCACAAGTGCCATGTCTCCAGTGTGTGCATCACACTGTGGATAGACCAAGGCAGGAGGGATCACCACTGCCTGTCTTCGTACAAACTATAAAGTACTGTGCAAATGTTGCTGCCCCTGCTGTTGCTACACAACGCAGTAGCAAAGCTGGCCCTCAGGAGCCAAGTTGCAGATGGCCCCACAGTTGGGTTCTTCTTTGCACCCACAAGAAATACACTTATTGTACTAAGCATTGCAGTCTTAGATCTATTTGACTACAGCCTACCTTACCCAAGGCAGAAATCTCCTACCTAGGTATTACTGTCCCATTTTACAGATGAGGAGACTGAGGTTCAGAGAGGTGAAATGTCTTTTCCAAGATAACATAGCTAGTCAGTAGTGGGCTGGGATTCAAACTCAGTTCTGTTTTATTATATTAAAACAAATAGCAATACATGTGGCTGTCACTTATTTAGTGCTTACTATGTGCCAGGCCCACTACCCATCTGTCAGTCTGTCATACTGTGATGGCTTGCGTGTTGCTGTGATGCTGGAAGCTATGCCATCGCTATTTCAAATACCAGCAGGGTCACCCACGGTGAACAGGTTTCAGCAAAGCTTCCAGACTAAGACAGACAAGGAAGAAAGGCCTAATGATCTGTTTCTGAAAATTAGACCAATGAAAACCCTAAGGATCATAACAGAATTTTGTCCACTATAGTGCTGGAAGATGAGCCCCCTACGGCGGAAGGCAACAATGGGCTCAAGCATGTGGCGATCATGAGGATGGCTCCGGACAGGGCAGTGTTTCATTCTGTTGTACATGGGGTCACCATGAGTCAGAGCCAACTAGGAAGGCAACTAACAACAAAATAACAAATGTGCCAGGCACTGTTCCAAGGGCTTTCTATGTATTACCTCATTCATGCACACACTGGTTAAAGCTGAACAGGAAAGGACAGAGAGGAGAAGGCACAACCAGGGTCACAGTGTATCTCAGCCTCAACTAGGGGCAGAAGCAGTTCCTTGGGATTGGATAATATCTATGATAACAGCAACCTTACAAGCTCGCCTTTATTGAGCATTTACTTTGTACCAGATACTGGTGTACATAGGTGTCCCTGGGTGGCATAAATGGTTAAGAACTCGGTTGCTAAACCAAAGGTTTGTGGTTTGAAACGACCCAGAGGCACCTCAGAGAAAACGTTGGGTAATATACTTCCAAAAGGTCTCAGCCATGAAAATTGTATAGAGTGCAATTCTACTCTGACACATATGGGGTCGCCATGAGTCAACTGGTTTTTTGTTTGTTTACTGTTGTACATGAAGTAATTCAATCCTTGTAGCAACCCTACGGGCATAGGTACTATCTTATCCCCATGTTACAGGTGAAGGAAGCAAGGCACAGGGTCACCTCCCAAGGTCAGGGTGAGGAAAGGTAGAGGAGAGACTCAAACCCAGGCAGTGAGGCTCCAGATTGAGCACTCTTAACCACCTCCCTGGGCTCCCCAGACCCAGGAACCATCGAAGACCAGAGCCTTAACCTGACTCTATTCACACAGGGCCCCTCCCGGAGGAAGCTAGGGGCAGGTTCTTTCCCTCTCTCCATCCTGGGGCAGACAGACGAGCTTCTTGCTTTCCTCACCCTCTGCCACCCTCCCGACAGGCCTCAGAGAAGGGAGGTCTGGAAGCCTTTTAGGATGTTGTCGGGCCAGCTAAAAATAGGCCAGAGGGGAGGAATGGATGAAGAGTCGGTTACATCACCGGCTTTTGGAAATAAGAGAAAACGGATACTGTTTGCACACACAGAGGAAAATTCCTTCTCTCTCCCACACAAGACGGCCCAGTCAGGGCTCCCAGAGGACACACACGCCCTCCCTCTGCCTGGTTCGCTCTGGTCTCTCACCAGCCCCCGACAACGTTCACTGCCAGGCTAGCTGCTGGGAACTTGGGCTCCAGGGTCCAGAGCCTACAGGGCAGTGAGGCTGGGGCTGGGGCTGATGCCAGGGATGAAGGGTAGGGAAGGGTATAGAAGGTATAGAAGCTAAGGAGAGGCAGTGAGAGACCCAGGCAGGACCATCCCACTGGACCACCTCATTGTACAGATAAGGAAACCGAGGCCCACGGTGTACAAGTAATTTGTCCAAGATCACCCCATATGTCAAGGGCCAGGACTCAGCCCCAGGCCACCTCTCGCTGAGAAGGGCAGGCCCAATGTGGGGGACAGGAATCCCAAGTGGGGAGAAGTCTGCAGGCCACCTTGCCCCACCCAGCAGCATGGGGCATCTGGGGCTTCCCTCTAGGGAGGCGCAGACCCGGGAGCACAGGTCCTGAGCTAAGTCATTTCTCCTGGCCAAGCTACTTTGCTGGAGGAAGGAGACTTGATTCTAAAGTCGCTGAGCACGGCGGGTGCACAGGAGCCGCTGAGTGTGGCACTGGCCACAGCCTGGCTTCTGGGCCAGCCCTGCCACTGAGTCTTGCAGCAACAGTAGGAGCAGCAGAGGAGGGGGCAGTGAGGGGTGATGAGTGACATACTTTCACCCTCAGACTCACGAAGCTGGCACCCAGGGACATCTCACTGACACACACATCCATTCCCCAGTTACCCTGACAGGCTCTTGGGGATGAGGCACAGTGCCCCCTCACCCTTCCTTTGATCAACCTGCTCATGAGGAAGGTGGGGCATAAGTCAGCATACCCATTGTACATATGGGAAAGATGAGGCCCAGAGAGGGAAAGCAACTTGCCAAAGTCAACCCATGAACATGAGCCCATGACTCTGGATTTCCAGACACATTAACAGCAGCAGTAGCCATTTATCAGCAAGTACAGAGAGACTGGGCCTCCACACTGGGCTCGATGCCTTGTACTCATATCACCTTTAAGTTCCACTGTGAATTACTAACCCAAACCTATTTTGCAGATAGGAAGTTGAGGTTCAGAGAGGTGAAGTAACTTGTCTAAGGTCACTGGGACTTGAAACCAGTACATTCTGGTTCGAATCCCTGCTGAGAATTTGAATTTCTAACAAATTCCCAGGTGATGCTAATGTTGCTGGTTAGGGACCAGTTCTGAGAGCCACTAGTAGAGCAGTGGTTCTCAAAATTTATTATAAATAAGAATCACCTGGGGATCTTGTTAAAATGTAGATTCTGATTCAGTATATCTGGGGTGGAAATGTACATCTGGGACGAACTGGTCGAAGCCCTGAAGGTCACACAGCTAAGAAGCAGGGAGCTAGGACTCAGACCTAAGTCAGCCTGGTTCTAAACCATGGTCTCAAGCAGCACGCCTCAAATTGTAATGTGCACACGAATCACATGGGGATCTCATTAACATGCAGACCTTGATTCAGCAGGTCTGGTGTGGGGCAGAAGCTGCATCTAATAACCTCCCCTACAACCCCGACCTGGGAGGCTGGATTCCCAGGCGGCTGCAGACGGCACTTTGAGTGCTGAGGCTCTGAAAGACCATACGATCCAGTCTCTCAACTTTCACCCCTCCCTTCCGGCACCCAAGCGTAAGTTCTGCACACACCCCATGCCTCACTAGCATTGACTGAGCCACATCCCAGCAGATGAACTTGCACAAAGGATTTCACGGGCATCTCATTTCCAAAGCCAAGCCGAGTGGGCAGCAGGCTGGCCTGCTCCCAGGACACCGAGCACAGACCCTTGCGAGTCGACAGCAGCTGGCTTGACAGCCCGAGCCTACTGCTCACACTGACCTCCCTCCCAGCAGCAGTGGGGAAAACCTGGCTCTGTCAGCTCCGATGTTGACGTGGCAGAAAAGCTTTGCCCTTCAGCTGCTCTGGCTGCCTGGGGTGAAAGGATGGGTGATGTGTTTCTTAAGGTGCCCCAGACACCCTGCATTCCCTGCAATTCAGCCCAGAGGGAGGGAGCTCTTGGCCTAACCAAAAACTAATCAACTGAGTTGCTGCTTCTGAAATTTCAACACCTGCTTTCCAGACACAATCCCTACCCCTGACCTGGATCTGCCCACAGAGTAAGGTTTCAGAAGGGAGGTGTTTCAGGCAGAGGGAACAACGTGAACAAAGATGGAGGGGCAGGAAGGCATAGGCGAGTGGTCCTGTTTGCTGCTGAGAAGCAGATGCACCTACTACGGGTCAGGGGTTTGGTGGGTGTCATTTCCTTTAAGCCTAACTAGCCTCTGCTGTCCCAATTCTCATGTCCAGTTCACAGCTGAGCAAACGTGCTCAGAGAAGCAAAATGACTTGCCCAAGGTCACTGCTGCTAGGAAATGGTAGAGCTTGGAGTCAGACCCAGTCTGGCCCAACCCAACTCCTGAGCCCTTGCAGGTGGAAAGGGCTGTTTGAGATACCCTCTGAGATCTCGAGAAGGACTGGGCTAACAAAGACAACCTTTGTGGCTTAAAGGTGAGAGTCCCTCAAATCTTCCTCAACAGTCCAGGAACTGCTCTGCCATGTAGGGACGGGGTTCTTTCTGGTAGAAAGACCCCAGGATATTGAAGGACCTGTCCCTGGAGGAAACTGGGGTGACATACACATCCCATCTCTCTGCAGGAGGCCAGGGTCTTTAAGTAGGTCTGCTCAGTCCCACTGCCTCACGTGCAGTGGGCTGTGAAGCTACAGAGAAACTCCTCTCCCCATTTTACAGGTGGGAAAATGAAGGCCCAAGCAAACAGGGCCAAGATGGTCTGAATCACTTACAGCTATCTCCGCCTACCCCTCATCCAACAGCTCATGTTGTTGTTGTTAGGTGCCGTTGAGTTGGTTCTGACTCATAGCAACCCTATGGACAACAGAAGAAAATATTGCCCAGTCCTGTGCCATCC